TGTATATATATATATATATATATATATATATATATATATATATATATATATATATATTCCGCACACACAAATATATATATACAGGGTGTCTCACATTCTCCTCCGGGTATTTTGTAAGAACGTAAAACAGGTTGAGGTGAACATAAAAGTCCTATACCGTTTTGCGATATTTGCAATAATTATCGAGATATTAATTGATAGAAAACTTGTAAATGATCATGCAGAATATGGTAAATGAGTTATAGTAGCGACGACGTGTACTTATACTTTAGGTCAAATTGAACAAAAAAGTCCTCTACCGTTTTCCAAGTAATCACATAGACTTTTAATTAATAATTAAAGAAGATTATTGCACGATTTTGCGTGATAATGCACTCATCTTCTTTAATTAATAATTAAAAATCTATGTGATTATTTGCAAAATGATAAAGGACTTTTTTGTTCAATTTGACCTAAAAAAATATAAGTACACTACGGCAGTCATCGCTATTATAACTCATTTGCCATATCCTGCATGATCATTTACAAATTTTCTACAATTAATATCTCGATAATTGTTGCGAATATCGCAAAACGGCATAGGACTTTTATGTTCACTTCAACCTGTTCTAGGTCCTCACAAAATGCCCGGAGGAAAGTGTGAGACACCCTGTATATATATATATACGTTGTATGTGCGTGCATGTGTGTGTGTGTTACAAAACGTAGTTTTCACATGTGCAATATAGAAATCTGAATTTTTATAGGATTGTACTAAACAAATATATAGACGAATATATAAAGGATTCTACTTCTAAACAGAAAGTAAGAACTTATACCACGAATTCAGTTGAATCTTTTTATAATTACACTCATAAAAGAATATAAATATCTGCGCACTTTTTATTTTAGCAACCTAGCGTTACAAAAAACTATGACGGTGCAGCGAAATTAACAAGCGAATTTGAGTTTATATCTGCTAATGATTATATATCTAAGAGTCTACATAATAAAAGTGATTCTTGCAGCAGCAAAAAAGTGTAAGATGAGATTATATTTATTCTTATCAAATATCTATTTGTATAAGATATCGTGATAGTAACATAGTAATATTACTATTACAAATGTTATTATTAAACATAAGGATATATATAGATAGTTATTATTACTAACTAGAATATCTTTGAAGTAAAAAGTAGAGGTGACTTTGTTTCAGGTTATCAAAGCTATACCCTCTAAAAAAAAGTTTGTTATAGCGGTAACGCTTTTTTTTTTTTAGATAAAGTAGTTTCGAAAATTGGAAAGTCACTTTTGTTTTTTACTTCAAAAATATTCAAAGTGGTAATAGTTGTTTACATCAGATATATTAATAATTATATTTATAAAAATATATTAGGAATGATTATATATAAACATTATTTTTATTAATTATAATTATAATTACATTATTATTATATATAATTTCCTAAGAGATAATTATATATACATATAGTAGTTACTAATGTTATATATGTATAGTAAACCCAAACATTTGGAAGATTTCGATCAAAGTTTAACCAAGAACTTAAATTCATCGGCGAGCAGTAAAAGTAGTAAAGCCAGAAATCAAAACTCAAACAAGACTTCGCCATTCAAACATTCTTTCAGTGGTACGTTTCCTTTTACATCATATAAATTGTATGAGCGTCCATCATTTTCTTGGATCCGTTGACAAATTTCGCATTGATTGCACAGCGTACTGTATGTTTTCATTTTATTTACATATTTCAATGTAATCGTTCTGTTAATTATACACGCGTGCCAGGTAGATGCGCGTCTCTACAAACACGCGGATTTAGTCCCATATACCAAGGTCCCGTATCTCGTCTTATGTCATATCTGAGGAAAAAGCTGAATAAAGTGAATTTATATCATTGTTTAAGAGATAATCAACAAAATGAAGAAAAATGTGGAGAAGAGCATGGAAAAATTGAAACCGGTTTTCTTTAAATTTGTTACAATGGAGAATAATAAATCATTGAGTACAAAATATCTATCTAACAACGAAGAAAGAGAGAGTGAAAAAGGAGAGAGTACTGGTTGCAACAAAACGGTAACTGGTGCAACGAATTTCCAGGAACATAACGTTAAAAGAAAAATATCTTTCGATTCGTGTACACATGACGAAAATATAGAAAATAATAATGATACAGTTCATAAATCACACCATCATACAGCAGACGGAAACTTGGAACGGAACTTGGTTGAGGATCTCGACAAGATCGAAATTGCCAATCAGGAAAGCGAACCGTTACTTTTGAACAAGAGCAAAACCTTCATTAATAATTTAAAAATTAAGAACATTTTCAAGAGTCCATACAATCATTCACCGCGAAGCAAGGTAAATTTACATTTAGTACACTTTTTTTTCTCCATTTGTACTATTTTTAAATTATAAAATTTATATACATATACAAGAGAGTACACGTATATACACATTATTTTCTAGTCGCGCAGCCAGTATATATTAGGACACGAATATTACATACATCTTTTGGACAATGCTGCGCAACTAGAAGAGAAAAAAGATATCATAAATAGGCAGGAAGCAGTGATTCAGGATCTCAGTGAAAAGATAGAACGTCTCACAAGTGAGCTTACCATCCTGAAGCATCAGTTCAGAGTGGATGATTTGGTTTTAGAACAGAAGATAGTAGGATCATCGTTGCAGAAGTTTAGATTGTTAATTTCGGAATCTGTAAGAGAACACAAACAGACATTGAAGAATTATTACGAAGAAAATATGGAAAAGGAAAACAAGAAAATAAAGGAGGAATACGAAAAGATTATACTCAAATATGAACAAAGAAATATTGCGTTGCATACAAATCTAGAGATAAAGGAGAAGGAGTTCATCTATCTCAGCTCGAAATTAGAGTAAGTGAAGTAATCGTTCATGTGTTATCTTTTTTATTGTAATCTCTACGAATTATATATTTTTTCCTGTGAAATAGATTATAGGAAAATTTCAGTTGGGAAAAGTTACTTTTTTGTGAAATTTGTTATCTTTACTTCTTACCCATCGGGAAAAGTAATTCGTTACTATTTCCGTTACTTTCTTCATCTCTTTGTTTCCATTTCCGATTTCTTCCTTACAAATCCCGAAATAAAAGCTGCCGTTGTGCAAAACAAATTGCGACATGTGTCTTTTACATGTATAATGTAACAATAAAAAGTTACTGTTACGTTTGTTACCTAAGAATGCAATTACATTACTGTTAATGTAATCAACAAAAAGGAGAAAAAAATCGCCATTACCAAATCGTTACTGAAAAAAGTGACTTGTGTCTGTAATATTTCAAGTAACACGATAGTTCACAATATTGCCAAAAACATTATAAAGTATCTGTGTTCGTAGGTCCACGAATAAGGAATACTTGGATTTTAAAACAGAAATACTCACGAAACGCTTGACTGACCAATATAATAAAAGTAATTTGTTGATAAACAAGTACGATTACATGAATACTATTCTGTTGTCAAATAATATAATAAACACAAAATTTGAGACTAATTTTTCGCACTTATAGGAACATATATTTTTACGAAAATGCACTTAATATAATGAAAATAATAGAACGTATATTTAATGCAATTGTTGGAGAAAAATTATCGTATGTGGCACAGGAGTTACAATCTTGGCAGGACAATATTACTTTTTTACGTAAAGAACTTAAAAATTGTCAGGTATGCTACGCAGTTTGTTTTATCCTACAAAATAAGAGCGTGATGATAAAAATAACAAAAGAGATATTGATATATTACTGTTTAATTATTATTGATGATTACTAGTAATAATATTTATGATAAAATTTCAATGATGAACACTAATTTGAATTAGACAAGTTTTTATAACAAATAGCTCAATTAATATTTTAGCGGAATGATGAAAAACAATTTAATACATACGAATACATACATATACATACAATATAATATCACGTACTAAAAGAATACTTGCACAAACTTTGTTTTTTATTTTTGCAAGTGTTCTTTTAGTATATATTATATATATATATATATATATATATATATATATATATATACACAAGTACATACGCATGTATGTGTACATATATTTGACTGACGTGAAAAGAATTTTCGTTGGATATCACAAACGTTATACAAGATGACATCGAACAAGGTGGCCAAACTTCAGTACCGTATTCTCTTCCTAAGGATGAAAAAAGGTCATATAAACATAGGTCCAGAAACTCGTCCTTTTCGAGATATAAATATTTTTTTGTTTATGATTGAGTATTGTAGAAATGTTTAAAGATTGCTTAAAGAAATTGCTGGAAATGATTTCTTTCTGCAACAATACACGCTTCACATCGACGTTGCCAATGGTACATTCCGAATCTATGTTTATGAATCAGAGACTCGTCCTTTCCGAGACATAAATACTTTTCTGGACCTATGTTTATATGATTTTTTTCATCCTTAGGAAGAGTAAAATACGGTACCGAAGTTTGGCCACCTTGTTCGGTGTCACCCTTTATATTCACCTATTAAATATATATGATTTGCGTGTAACTCCAATACCATTATTTTCTAGGAAGCGTACATGCATGGAACGATTCAATTGAAGAAGAAAGAATATATTGATAAAATTAACGATATACCGTGGGTAAATTATACGGCACCTGAAATTTCTAACACTATTTTATCCTCATATGTGTTTAACGCTTTCATAGAATTTTACAACAAACTAATGGAAAAATGTTGCCAAGATAAGTCGTCTTTACCGCAACAAATACCGTCTATAGGTATTTAAAAATGCTTCTTCTAAAAATATTTTTTCTGAAGAATATTTAAGAAAAATTGTTCTGACCACTTCTTCGGAAAGTACTTCTTCTGAAGATAATAATTGATATATTGATCTTGAACGACGACTCCAGCCAATCTATCGTATATAGTAAAATGTGACTATATAAACATAATGATATGCTTCACGTAAAAATTTTATGGCAATTAAAAGATGCAAATCAAGCGACAAGTAGTGCCGCGGTACTAAGTATACAAACCGACGTAGTAGCTTTAACAAGCAAAGCAACTAAGTTGTTTAAATTTTTTTATCGTATTAGAAGTGATTATATAAAACTGATTTATTTATTGATTATTCAAAGAACAGCAGGAATGATATGTCAAACTGATAATTTACTATATTAGTTTTACGTTATCGTTCAGAAATAAAGGTGTATGCAAAATAAATATATTGACGTTATATATCAATAGTTCATTCGAAGTGTTCGGTCTGGCTTCCAAATTGATGCTGCATCCTTCATAGATTTGTCATCAATGTTTCATGAATATTTTAGTTCATTTCTTCAGGAGACTTCTTCAGAAGAGAAACAACTTGAGATTTTATTCAAAGTTTTCGCGTCAATTATAATTTCGATAAAGACATCTTAAAAATTCTCTCTCTCTCTCTCTCTCTCTCTCTCTCTCTCTCT